GAACCCAGTAAATCCAGCAAAGAGGTCCTGACTCTTTCCCTGAACTCCCTAAACCCTAATAGGCTCCAAAGTAGCTCCTTTTCGTGGTGTATATTTAGGATCCCAAAAGGTAACCCCAAAAAGGAACTACTTTGGAGCCTATGTGTAAATCCAAAACCCTAAACCCTAAAGCCCTAAATTCAAAACCCTAAACCCTAAACCTTAAACCCTAAACCCTAAGCCCCTCTCCCAAACCCTAAAGCCCTAAAGCCCTAAAGTCCTGACTCAGCACGAATTGTCCTTAATCCGGCTTCCAACCCCAAAAAAGCCCTAAACCCCTCAAGTCCTGACTCTCTCATCCACCCTTGTTGGGCGTCGGCGGCGCCGGATCCATGTTGCAGTCCCCCAGCAGGGGCTGGCTGAGCGTGTGAGGCGGCTCCTCCAAGCAGAAGGCTGAGAGGGGTTTAGGGTTTAGGGTTTAAGGTTTTGGGTTTAGGGTTTAGGGTTTCCGGTTTAGGGTTTAGATTTTAGGGTTTAGGATTTAGGGTTTAGGTTGTATAAGGCAACAACCCAGGAGCAATCGTCCCCGAAGGATTGGGCAAAAAGCACAGGTACACTTCCTGAGCTCCTTAGAACCTTCCCAAAATCCCTCCACTTCCCTACTCCTTAAACTCCCTAAGCCCAGCTTCCTAAGCCCTAAGCCCTGGGAGCAGCAAGTCAGGCCTGGTTCGACTGGATGCTGGGCTGCCTCATGCGCTCGAGGGTCTCGTGGAGCAACTCTTGACCTTTCAGCAGGGGTTTTAGGGTTTTGAGTTTGCGGGTTTAGGGTTAGGGGTGAAGGGGTTTAGGGGTTAGGCGTTGAGGGTTTGGGGGTTCAGTAGTCTGGTTTAGGGTTTAGGGACTTAAGGGTTCGGGTTTAGGGTTTCGGTTCAAGGGCTTGGGGTTTAGGGTTTGGGGTTTGCCGTGGAAGAGCACGTAGGCGACAGTATCTTGCGACAACCCCACGCCGTATGAGGCGGCTAAACCTATTTCTTGTAGGCTTTGGGCCTAAACTCCTGCCAAAGTGCACTTCAGAAGCCGCGGGCAGGGCAGGGCAGGGGCAAGGCAAGGCAGGGGCAGGGGCAAGAGCGGGGAGGGCAGGCTTTCGTAATCAATTGCGAGGGGCCTAGGCGCCCTCCCTCAGTTCTGTGGGCAGCCTGTGCCTTGAGTTTAGGGCTTGCCGCATCTGCTGCGTTGCTTTACGGAGCCCTTTTGCGGGCTCCTATGCGGGTTGCTATCGGGGTTGCTACAGGCATCAAGGTTACCCTACCTAAACCCTAAACCCTAAACCCTAATTCTTTTTACCTGGGTTCTACAAGTCCTCTATAGGACTATACGAGTTCGATTACGAGCTTCGAGCTCCCGGGTTTCCACGGTTCGGGGGTCCTGTAAAGCCCCCGGACAACCTTTTGAGCAATGAAATGCCACAAACTGCTTAGGGTTTAGGGTTTAGGGTTCAGGGATATCATAAACTGCCATAAACTGCTTAGGGTTTTGGGTTTAGGCTCTTGGGATATCATAAACTGCCATAAACTGCTTAGGGTGTAGGGTTTAGGGTTTTGGGATATCATAGACTGACATAAACCACCTCCATCCTTCCTGAGGCTGGGGCACTCCATCTTGTCGCCGTTCAGACGAACCTGAGCTTTAAGCGAGAACACCCGGCAAAGTGAAAACCCAGAAAGCCTAAACCCCCTCAACCCCTTAGCCCGAAACCCCCAAACACTAAACCCCTAAACCCTAAACCCCTAAACCCCTAGACCCTAAACCCTAAACCCTAAACCCTAAATCCCTAAACCGTAAACCCTAAACCCCAAAACCATGAAGGAGGAAGGGTTTAGGGTTTATGGTCAGAGCAAGTTTTGTGATTAGGATCAAGGGGCCATAAGTGTTCGAGAACCTCCTGATCCACAGTAATCTGGGCTCTTGTTAAGTCAATTAAGTTACCCTAGTAGGGATCTGTAGTAAGAACAAACTATGGTGACCTTATTAGAGTAAGTTAAACTGAATTCCTTAAAAGGCACCCGGTACTGTAGGAATCATGGCCCTATAACCCCAAGATATTAGGATTCCTATAAAGACCCCCTATAAAGACCCAGGGTTCCTTTGTCAGGTTTATAGGCGAGATGGATTTGTCAACAGGCTGGTAAGCTTGGTGTCAACATTACCGGTTTGCTCAATCGAATACGAGAAGAACTTCAAGCCAAGAGTGCTCCACGGGACACTTCCACAGAAAAGTTTCTGACACCAGCGCTCTGAGGGCACGGCAATCATGTTGAGGTGGTGGTCGTGAAGCTCTTGATGCTTGTAGCGCGACCAGATCCTTATGCAGCATGCGGCTTGCAGCTGTCCTGCAAGAACATGCATGTTGACATGACACTGACATGCAGACGCCCTCTAAACCCTAAACCCTAAACCCCTAAACCCTAAACCCTCAACCCCTAAACCCTCAACCCTAAACCCTAAAATTTCAACCCTCTTCATGCAAAATCGACACCATATAGTTTATAAGCCCCTCGCAAGGCAATGAAGGCCACCCAGGCAAGGAGTGTGGCCAAGAAGAGGCCGAGCTTCAGGTAACCTCAGGGTTTAGGGTTTAGGGTTTAGGCCTTACATGTTGTAGGTGCCTTCAAAGTTTGAACGAGTTGTTGTTTTATCTTGTTTACCTTCAGAGTAGGGCTTGGGTGGGGTTTAGGCTTTAGGGTTTAGGGCTTGGGGTTTGGGGTTTAGGCTTTAGGGTTTAGGGTGCTCCACAAGTCACAACTCCCTCCCAAGTAGGCAAATGGAGCCCCGAAACCCAACTTGGGGAGGCCCAAATTCAATTAATACCGGGGCCTTCATGTTGTAGCCGGAACAAGGTTTTAGGGTTTAGGGTCTAGGGGTGTTCCCCTAAACTTCCTAAACCCTCAGCCCCAGCCAACGCAAGGCCAGCTTTTCACAGAATCCCTAAACCCTAAAACATGCGATCAAAGCTGCGATTCTCCTTGATGTCCAAATGCTCTTCCATGGCTTCAGCATCACTGCTGGCCTCAGCAAAGGCACTTCGTTAGGGCTTAGGACATAGGGGTTCCTTGAAAGAGCTCTATATAAGGGATCTTTACGGTTTTAGGGTTTAGCATTTAGGGGTTAGGGGTTTAGGATTTAGGGGTTTAGGGCTTAGGGATTTAGGGTGTTAGGGTTTAGGGTTTTAGGGTTGGCGTTTAGGGATTTAGGGTTTTAGGGTATGGGGTTAGGGCTTTTGGGGGTTTCCTGTTTAGGGGTTTAAGGGGTTTAGGGTTTAGGGATACGAATTCGACACTGGCACATCAGGAGTTCATGAGGAGCACTTAAACCCTAAGCCCAGCACCCCCAACCGCCTCGTCTTCTGCCGAAGCTCCGCCCCTAGTATCCCAAAATCCGAAATCCCGACACCTACTTGGACCCTAAACCCAAAGCCCCTAAAGCCCTAACCCCCTTAGCCTAAACCCTAAACCCTAAACCCTAAAAGCCCTAAACCCTAAGCCCTAAACCCTAAGCCTAAACCCCTAAACCCTCAAACTTCAAGTCTACACTGAATCTCAAATCCCAAAACGATCCTGGGACTTCCGACTTCCCCCTGTTGTAGGGGCCTAGATAATTACCAATACTACGGTTGATGATATACATCCTGCATGACCCAGACTAAGGAATATACCGTAATTCCCATAGTTTAGGGTCATCAAGGTTCTGCAGGATTTATATCATCAACCGTATCTTGGAGGTTCCTTGATATAATCATAGTATAAGTAATGGGCGCCAAAACCCTATTTTAACTATTATGGCCCCTCCCTATGCTATAGTAATAAACCCTAAACCCTAAACCCCTAGGCCCTAAACCCTAAACCGTGGAAAATTTGTCCTAGAGCTGTCACTGAGTCTCCCGGCCCGATCCTTGGCATCCTTAGCCTCCTGGATTTCCTCACATTTCTGCTTTCGGGATTAACTCCCTGGTTCTTAGTAGGGAAGGAGGGAATGGGTTATTGGCTATTGGGACTACTTTAGGAGATGTTAAGGGACTATCATAGGGATCCATTCCCCTTCCCTACTAAGAACCAGGGAGTTAAGGGTTCCGTTAAGGATTACCGTAACGGCTTGCTGTGAAGGAGTTACTACAAGGGCCTTAGGCTTTGGGGCTGAGGATCTAGGATTTCGGGTTGAGGGCTTGGGGTTTAGGTCTTTGGGCTCTTCTTGTTAAGGGCTCCTTTCAGGGTCACTGCAAAAAAAAAGCAAAGAGAGTTCTGACAGTTGTGGATCTAGGGTTTTGGGCCTCGGGTTTAGGATTTGCAGCTTGGGTTTTGGACATGAGGTTTGGGATATAGAACTCCAAAAGCCATACCCGGAACCCCAAGCCCCAAACCCTAAGCCCCAAAACCTAAACCCTCCACTTCAAACCATAACCCTAAACCCCACACCCTAAACCCCAAACCGCAGAGCTCACACTGCTTCGACCACGCCTGCTGCTCCTTCTGCGCCTTCTCCTCAGCTGCCTGCTCCATTTGCTGAGCCTGCGATCATCGGGTCACTGTATCTATCTACCTATCTATCTATCTATATAGGGTTTAGGGTTTAGGGCTTAGCTTAGGGTTGCTCTTTATAAGGGTCACTACCCAAATCTTCCAGAAGTCCGTCGTTAAAGACTACCTTAAATACGTAGGACCCGAAATATGATCCAAGGTATATTCCGTAATCTTGGGATTTTGGAACACCTGGGAAAAGGGGTTGCTGTAAACTCTGTAACACGTGTATTGCGAAGGGGTGCGGGCACTTTGACGGGGCACGATTCAGGGTGCCATATTAGGGCGAAAGGGTTACTGCATAACGGCGGCTACGCCCTGAACCCCAACCCCTAAACACTAAACCCTACACCCTAAATCCCTAAACCCTAAACCCCTAAACCCCTAAACCCTAACCCCCAAACCCCTAAACCCCTAAACCCGGCTGCACACTTCCCCCAAGCGCTGGACCTTCGCCAAGCTCGCCTCGGCGGATTCTTTTGCCTCGGCCAAGCATGGCAATGCATGAACTTGCTTGGGGTTTGGGGTTTAGGGCTTAGGGTTTAGGGTTTGGGGTTTAGGGTTTAGGGTTGGGGCTTGGGGTGGGATTCAGATGGGATCCATTGCTAAAGCGTCAACTTTGCGACCTGCAGTCGTCACGGCTCATGCAAGGTGAACTCTAAACCCTAAACCGTGCATGGCCTTCTCGGCATCCTTCTGTGTCTCCGTGAGTTTAGCCTGCAAAATCGACAGGAGAAAGTCTGGACCGTCTGGACGCCTAGAAGGCAAGTTGTACAAGCTCTGTGAGGGGTTTAGGGTTTAGGGCTTAGGGGATACTGTCAGATGTAGACACTTCATTCTGCCAGCAAGGCCTGCTGTTGGCTGGCTTCCTTCATCATCGCTTGGCCTTTGGCTTCGGCCGCCTTGCCCTGCGCAGCCCAGGGCGGTCCAAGGCACTTCAGGCGCGTTCCAACAGACCAAGCCTCCCGGACCATGCCCGCCACGGAGGCGATCTCGGCATCTGCGTGGCGCTTCTCCTAGGCTCACAGATTCTCTGAAGGCTGGCCGAGTAGGAAGGGAAGACTAGGCCCCGCTCCGCTGCAGCACTAGCTGCAATTTGCCTCGGACAAGCGCAACCAGAGATTCGCAACAGTTTTGCGCACAGTGTGCAGAAGAGTCTTCGCTTGTCACAACACAAGGGGACTCTTTAAGTGCGCAAGAGCCAGGCCCCTAAACTCTAAAACCCAAAACCCCTGAAGCCTTGAGCCTAAAAAGCCTAAAATCCTGCACCACGCATGATCTCGGGGCAGTGGCTGAGCATTTGCGGCTTCCTGCTTGGCAATGGCGATCTGACGGGTCTTCTCGTTCTCGAGGGCTCGAATCTGGCAGGAAGACGAGGGGTTCAGGGTTTAGGGTTTAGAATTTAAGGGTTTAGGGCTCAGGGTTTAGAGTTTAAGGGTTTAGGGTTTAGGGCTCAGGGTTTAGAGTTTAAGGGTTTAGGGTTTAGGGCGGTTTAGGGTTTTCGTTTAAGGGTTTAGGGTTTAGAGCTTAAGGGTTTAGGGTTTAGGTTTAAGGAAAAGAAACAAGGCTATTGTAGCCCCCTGGCGGCACAAACCGCTCTTAAGGGCACGCATGCCTGCTTGCATAAAGGGAAGGGCTTTCTCAATCAGGGGTCTACATTAGCTGGGGTTGAAGGGCCTCGGTGCAATCAGCCTAAACCCCTAAACCCCTAAGCCCTAAACCCTCAACCCCTCAAACCCTAAACCCCTAAAGCCCTAAAAGCCCTAAAAGCCCTAAAAAGCCCCAAAAAGCCCTAAAAAGCCCCAAAAAGCAATAAAAAGCCCCAAAAACCCAAAAAAGCACCAAAAAGCCCCAAAAGCCCCTAAAAAGCCCCAAAAAGCCCTAAACGCCCTGAACTCACCCAAAAGACGCGGAAGCCAGCGCTCCCCCTGCCTTCGTACTGGCCTCATGGACCTGGGAACTGGGGGAAGGCACAAGGGCTTACTATAGGGTTTAGGGTTTAGGGTATACTGTAGGGTTTAGGGTTTTGGGTTTACTGTAGGGTTTAGGGTTTGGAGGTTTAGGGCTTTGGGTTTTGGGCTTAGGGGTTTTGGGTTTTTTTTGGTTTGGGTTTTGGGTTTTGGGGTTAGGGGTTTTGGGGTTTAGGGTTTAGGGTTTACCTGATCGGGCGCAAACCTTGTAGTAAACCATATGGGTAGTTCTCTGAATCAGGGTCCCTTTGGGGGTCCCTTTCATAAAGGTTCCGTACCATTTTGGGGACCTCAAACGGTTCCCTAATTTCCAGAACTCCCCACAAACCCCGAAACCCTGAACCGTAACCCAACCTACAGTATGATCCCAAGATGTCCCAATGCAAAAGGCTTAGGTAGACTGAAGGGTACAGCCGCTCCGGATCGAGCAGACTCTGTAGCAGAGTCCCAGGTTGTACTGGGACTCTGCTACAAAGAAACGGCCCGAATTTGCTGCACAGCGACCACCTAAACCCTAAACCCTAAACCCTAAAATCTAAACCCTAAACCCTAAACCCTAAACTAAAGCTGTGCAAGAAGCGCCCATCGGGCCAACCGACCCACCCAGAAGCCAACGCCGAGACAGTACCCCTATTGCAAGCTTCGGGTACGCTTAATCTCAGAGTCACCCATTAATGACCCGTATAGCAAACTTGTAGTAGAAATTATACGTACCTGATAGTAACCTTGTACTGCCCTCATGAAATCCTTAGAATAGCTTGCTTGTCACCCTTATGGTAGACCTTGTAGTAACCCTACACCCTAAGCCCCTAACCCCTGAACCCTAAACCCCAAACCCCTAAACCTCTAAACCCCTAAACCCCTAAACCCCTAAACCCTAAACCCCTAAACCCCTAAACCCAAAACCAAAAACCCCGAAAACCTCAAACCCTAAACCCCAAATTAGGAGCTGCCACGGCTGCTAAGATCTCGGCAGTCGAGGCTTCCTTGGTGGCGGTGTCCTGAAGGAGCGTAAGGAAGAACTCCCCCCACAAAGGTGTTGGGTTTAGGGCTTAGGGTTTGGGATTTAGGGTTTAGGGCTTTAGGGGTTTAGGGGTTTAGGGTTTAGGGTTAAACTAGTCTGAAATCGCTGTTGCTACTGAAATTTCGGCTTTAGGGTCTATATGGTTTATAGCTATGGTTGCGGCAAGTACTACGATGTGTATACAACTTCCCACATGGCCACCCAGAGAACCCAACACCCCTTAATTAAGGAATATACCTTAAATCACAATATTAAGGCCTCTATGATTTAAGGTATATTCCTCAATTAAGGTGTATGGGTTCTCTGGGTATACTGCCCACATGGCCAGGCTCCTTCTCGTTGTAGGCCACTTCCAGGTCGTGCTTGGCCTGGGCCTCCATCTGCCGCACCTGAATCGACCGACAGCTTTCTTACTAGCATATTATTCCTCAAACACAGCGCCTTTAGCGTTTAGTGGTCTTAAGACTTAAGACAACATGCCTTCGATAGTAGTTGTTCAACATACCCCCAAAATCCTATTCTACGACTTGAAGCCCCGAAATACCCTCAAACCCTACAAAACCCTTATGGTAACCTGTATAGCCGTATAGGAACTCATGTTCTCCTTAGCTCCTGGGCTATGCTTCCTTGTAGTCATCCCTTATACTATCCGTATAGTAACCCTTATGAGGAACCCTTATAAGGAGCCCTCAAAAGGGAACCCTATTCTAGTTCGTAGGGCCCCTGTGTTACTTCGAGGATCATGGGGCTTAGTAGCTAATCAGGGTTATAAGTAAAGTAACTATACTAACTATACCTAAAATTACTTATAGCTTCAATTAGGATACATATATAACTATACAACTGTACTTACTAGTCCCATGATCCTCCAAGTAATTGTGCCCTAAACCTCAAACCCCAATCCCTACAAACCCATTATAGAAGCTGGTCCTTGTGATGCTGAATGAGGGCCCCGCAGCTGCCATTGCCTCGAGCTCCTCGTGATGCATGCGCCTGCGGGCTTCGAGCTTAATCCTTGGGGTTTAGGGTT